CGAACAATAACATAAATATGTCACCTTATTAATCCAACGTGAACTCTTTTTTTTTTTTTTTATGATACGGCATTTCTTCATCTTCTTCTCCCTCATCCTTGGCATCATCTTCACCATCATCCATCTTCACCATCCTCTGCTCAATGGGTTCTACAGAACCCAGATTATGGGTTTCGACCTTTTTTTTTCATTTTTTTATTTTGAATTTATTTATCTTAGTTTCCTATTTTATGCAAAGCAATTTGGAATAATTTTTTTGTTGAAAAGGTGAGTTTTTTTGCTTGGAGATTGTTTCTGAACAGGTTGCCAATTTGACTTTAAATGGGATTAACATAAATGGCAATAACGGTTTTTTCGTCTTTTGTGAGAAAGGGGTAGAAGATGCATATAATGTTTTTGTGCAGTATTCATTTACTTATAATTATGTGGATGAAGATCTTAACTTGGTAAGTATTCATACGAAATTGGGTTCCATGAGGAAGTCAAAACCTGGGTTTCACAAGGGACCCAGGAGGATGAGGACGAGGATGGTGAAAATGATGTCGGGAAAGAAGAAAATAAAGAAATAAAAATTAATTATGATTTAATTATAACACATTATAAAAAAAAAAATCCACGTTTGATTAATAAATGTGACATAACGTCCTGGGTTCCTGGTTCCATGAGGAACCCAAGAGGATGAAGAGGAAGATGGTAAAGATGATGTCGAAAAAGAAGAAAATGAAGAAATTAAAATTAATTATGATTTAATTATGCCACATCATCAAAAAAAGTCCACATTTGATTAATAAGATGACATAACGTTCATGTTACTGTTTGATGCTATGTATTATAATTTTTTACAGTTATTAACATTTTTGTAACGACCCGTTAAAATATTAGATTTTTCACGAGTTTTGAAAAGTTGAGGGTATGAATAAGGAAAGAAAAATTTGGAAGGCGTTGAACACGAAAAAGAATTAAATGGAGGGTACAAATAGGGGTTTTAGGCTATATAGAACAATCGTACAGGGGTTTCACCAAATGAAAACAACTTTAATTTATGCCATTTAGTTTTAATTTTCTTCGGGAAAAATTTTGATTCCAGTAGCGTAAAATTTA